TTGTTTTATTATAATATGAAATTTTAGGTGCATTTTTTTAGATTAGATTAGAATTCATGTTAGAGTCATTAATAAAAGTATATGTAGGTTTAGTAAATCTAAGAAACGTTCAAAAAAAAGCTATCGAAAGATCAACCATTTTTTTATTGGTTGGATCACATGTATAAAGACCTATTTTTATTGGTCAGATCATGTGTAACCCCGAAAAATCAGCAAAAATTTGGAAAATTTTGCATTAAATACAAAAATTTGGAAATTTTGGGATTAAGTCAAAAATTTGGAAAAATTTGGAAAATTTTATTTCCAAAATTTTACGGGTCCCTTAAGAAATTTATTAAGTTGTATTTTTTGAATAGCTTGATATCTTGGTTTTCATAACATGAAACTTTTAAGTAGACTCAGCTTGCCGACTTTTTTATTCTCCGGGTTATGAAAATCAACACGAACCAAGCATGACCACCCAAATCAGTTACATACAGAATTTAAATTATTTATTACCAGCATGATAGATATAGTAACGTAATGTAAATAATTATTATTTGTTAATGATATATTAATTGATACTATAATAAAAATCTTTCGTAAAAAAAAAAAAAATTCTTTTCACAAATTTAAAATGGAAGTTAATTATCCTACCCAAGACTGTTCAACTTGTCGCACAATAAAACCCACTAATGCTTTCGAAGATAATAAAAAAACATGTATTTTATGCTTGGATCGTATAAATAAAGGGAAAAAAAGAAAAAGCGAAGAGCAATTTATAGATAATCTTTATAAGGATTACGAAAATGCTATAGAACCGGAAGAATTCGAAAATATTGTTTATGAAAAGCTTATGGAAGTTGATGATGAAAGCAGTGGACAAATGAAACTAGAAATATTAATTACTATTTCCAGTCTAATTGACAAATTAAACGAAATCAGCACAGACAAAACTAATCCAAATTTATTAGCAATCGAACTTGTAAAACTTTGTGAAAAAAATGATGGATATTCTTATGTCTATCATAAAAAATATACAAATCAACAAACAAAGATTAGCTCATATATTTATTGGTGCAATTGTCATCTTGAGCTAAAAAAAAAATCAAAAAAAGTTGCAGATACGTCTAAACAACATAACACTGAACCACAATTAGAACGATATGACTGTAAAGGAGCACTTCTAATTAAAATAGATTTGCACAATGCATTAGCCGTAAAGCTTAATCATATGCTCTTGCACCCGCGGCCACAACATATTAATGTTACTGATGAAATTAAGGATTATATTAAAGCAAATCAGAAGCACTCCGCATCTGAATTGTACAAGCAAATAATTATAGAAAAGATAAAAGGTTATGAGCTTTTAACAGTTAATCAAACTTATTATTGGTGGGCATGACATACTATTAAAAAATATAAACGTTCAGATGACCAGCTTGAATCAGCTAAAAAATTATTAATTGAAAGAACTATATGCTTATTTTAGAACTTAATGAACCAACATTAGCTTTCGCTTTTATAACGCCATTTATAAACATTTTACCTAAATTGGCATTTAAGACACTACTTGTCGATGCAACTTATAATACTAATCAACTTAAGTATGAGCTCTATGTAATTATGGCTACGATTGATGGAACAGGATTTCCACTCAGTTATTTGTATATTTCAAATGGAAAGAATCGAGATATTCAAATGATTGTAACCAAATGGTTCAAAGCAATTTACAATTTAAATATTGATAATGTAGAAATAGTGCTTTTTGACAAGGATTTTGCACAAATTTCAAGTGCACAAGCTGTTTGAAAAAATGTGAACATTCAACTTTGTAAATGGCACGTTTTACGTGCTATTGAACAAAAGCTTGCGTCAAATAATAAAAAAATTAAAGTTCATTATAATGCAAAAAATGCTCATAATGAATGTTCTGTAATTGATCCAAATTGGAATATTGATTCTTTTCAATTACATACGAATTCAAGAAGTAAAGTTTTTCTTGAGGCCACATTAAGAAAAAATATTCTTAGCTACGTAGAAACTTATTTTCACCTTCATACACTAATACCCACTTCTGACCAAAGATTTGTTACATTGCCACAAGAAATTTGGTTGTGTGTAGTTTATGAAATCTTCACATTTTGTCGTGAAAAAAATTTATTTTATGTTTGGTGTTATCTTTGAACTGAGTGGTACCAATGGGATAGGTGGAAGCTTTGAGCACTTTCTGCTTTTTCAGGAATTTCTGTATTATGTACAACAATGATAGTAGAATCGCATTGGTGACTACTGAAGAGAGATTATTTATACAAGTTCAATCAACCAAGAATTGATCTTGTTTGCTATATTATAACTGACAAATTATTGCCTATACAATTACACCGATTTCAATTACTTTTACAAGAACGAATTTTACCATCATGGTGCAATGATTTCAAAATCGAATGGAACAAACTTATTTCACATAATATAAAAAATTCACAAAAATATTTAACTGACCACAAAAATTGGGTATGTTCATGCCCGTATTTCTTAATAAATAGGTTCTTTTTATGTAAGCACCTTGTTAAACCTCTTGGAAAAATGGATGCGTCATTTTTTTGAAAGGTAATTTTTATTATTATGATTTATTATTGTGTATTATAGATACGTATATTTATTTTATATAAATTAAAATTTAGGTACAACGCAATTCATATTATCTATTTATTACTGAAACTAAAGAATCCATATGGAAAACTGTCAAAACATTAATATCAAGTAATGATTTGCAAACAAGTTTAATAGAAGATTCAATGGTTATAGAAAATTTTAATATAGCCGATGAAGAATTAAATACTGAAGATAGAAGCACAGATATTGTGAGTGACAAAGATGAACCTGAATTAGAAATTGTAGAACGATACAAAAAAAACACTTAATGAGGTATATACTATAAAGCATCGATTTTTTTATCCTATATAAACAAAATATTTATCGTATTTCATATAGGTTTTTTACTTACTTGACAAGTCTTATGAACTTCCGAATCAAAAAAAATGGCTTCAAAATATTGAATCTAACTTCGCACCCCTTCAAAAGATGGTAAATGATATAAAACATTTGGAGCAATCAAAAAATATTCCAAAAACGTGGGGTGGACATAATAAGAATACTTTTTACTGGCAGTAAATCAAATAATTTCGAATTGTGTTAAAGTTATAATAATTTAAAATGTTGAATTTAATTTATTTCTTTTATTAAAGCTGTAAAAGTTCATGAGTTATAGAATTTTTTACTATAATAACATAGTAAATTAATAAAAGTTTTTTGCGTTTGTATAAATCTTGTTTTCGAATTTTGAAGTTCACATAATAGCTCGAATAAAATAGCTGAGATTCAATTTTCAAAATACGATTACGTAACTGATTTGGGTGGTTATGCTAGGTGGGTTGAAAATCAAGCTTATGTTTATATTAGTAAAATATCTAACCTCTTTAATTTTCTTTATTTAGTATTTTAATTAAGATATAACTACGTATTATTTTTATTCAACTTGTTTTGATACCAAACATTAGTTACAATTTTTTTAATTTTTTAATATAGACTTCCATTTATAAAGTTATAATATGCTTTTGGGTATATTTTATACTCCATTAAATGAACTTATATTTTTTTTATTTTTCTTTCATAATATCTAACTACACTTGACCCCCGTTAATATCAACCTCGTTAATATCAACCTCCCGTTAATATCAACCTTTTATTTAGACAAAATAGACTCAGGGTATATAAAAACTATCCCGATACTATCAACCCTCGCATATATCAACATAATTGCCCAATCCAAATGGGTTGATATTAACGAGGGTCAAGTGTATTAATTTTATTGCAGTTAAATTTGATAATTAAATGATTATAAAATGTATATACAAAATAAAACTAATTTGACCAGATAGCGAAATTGTTTAGGTTGGTGATGCTAGGATGGTTACGCGTCCTAATTTTTTTCCGGCGATCTTTCTATTATTACAGCTATTTTCATAATTCCTGGAACACCTGATAAAAATTGACCGAATGATACTCCGGCCGATTCGATTAAGTTATTGATTTCGGCATGATCGGTACGTATTTACAATACAGTAGATTACATTGTAATTTGAAAGATATATGTTTTCGCACAAACTAAACGCAAAAAACACGTTGGAAATTTAATAATATTGAACGTGTCGACATTTACAATGTTAAAATTATCTGTAGAACAAGTATCATGTCTTTTATATATAGGGTAGAAATTTGTGTAATTTTTTACGTGTAAGTTTCTGTACCGGGGTAAATTCACCACCCAAAATTTTTTCAGATCACGTGAATAATATACATGTACTACATGTACTGTACGT